TCTACCACCGCGGCCTTGACAAGCGGCATACTCTACCACCGCGGCCTTGACAAGCGGCATACTCTACCACCGCGGCCTTGACAAGCGGCATACTCTACCACCGCGGCCTTGACAAGCGGCATACTCTACCACCGCGGCCTTGACAAGCGGCATACTCTACCACCGCGGCCTTGACAAGCGGCATACTCTACCACCGCGGCCTTGACAAGCGGCATACTCTACCACCGCGGCCTTGACAAGCGGCATACTCTACCACCGCGGCCTTGACAAGCGGCATACTCTACCACCGCGGCCTTGACAAGCGGCATACTCTACCACCGCGGCCTTGACAAGCCGCATACTCTACCACCGCGGCCTTGACAAGCCGCATACTCTACCACCGCGGCCTTGACAAGCCGCATACTCTACCACCGCGGCCTTGACAAGCGGCATACTCTACCACCGCGGCCTTGACAAGCGGCATACTCTACCACCGCGGCCTTGACAAGCGGCATACTCTACCACCGCGGCCTTGACAAGCGGCATACTCTACCACCGCGGCCTTGACAAGCGGCATACTCTACCACCGCGGCCTTGACAAGCGGCATACTCTACCACCGCGGCCTTGACAAGCGGCATACTCTACCACCGCGGCCTTGACAAGCGGCATACTCTACCACCGCGGCCTTGACAAGCGGCATACTCTACCACCGCGGCCTTGACAAGCGGCATACTCTACCACCGCGGCCTTGACAAGCGGCATACTCTACCACCGCGGCCTTGACAAGCGGCATACTCTACCACCGCGGCCTTGACAAGCGGCATACTCTACCACCGCGGCCTTGACAAGCGGCACACTCTACCACCGCGGCCTTGACAAGCGGCATACTCTACCACCGCGGCCTTGACAAGCGGCATACTCTACCACCGCGGCCTTGACAAGCGGCATACTCTACCACCGCGGCCTTGACAAGCGGCATACTCTACCACCGCGGCCTTGACAAGCGGCATACTCTACCACCGCGGCCTTGACAAGCGGCATACTCTACCACCGCGGCCTTGACAAGCGGCATACTCTACCACCGCGGCCTTGACAAGCAGCATTCTCTACCACCGGTGACCTGTAGGTCATACAGGAGACAGAGGTCAGCTGTGGTCACAGACCCGCCATTTAGTAGCGGTATATGTATACATACATATAACGTTAATTTGATTTGTGTGTGTTTACTATAGTGGTATATAGCGGGAAGTTACATAACTTTCTTTCACTTGGTCCCAACGGGTCTCGAACCAGCGACCCCAAGAGCGGGAGACATTAGCTCCTAGACATTAGCCTAGACATTAGCTCATTATTAGAGACATTAGCTAGATCAACCACGCTATGACCGGCCACAATAAGGTAGTATTGTAGGAGCAACTAACTGCTGCCCAACTGGAACTTTAAGCCTTCCTAAGGCTGCCGCTAGAACATGGAGTGGCAGCCCTGAGGAAGGCTCGAGGCTCTGGTTGGGCAGCGTTAGTTGCTTGTGGAGTCCTTCCTGATTGTGGCAGTTCATAGTGTGGCTGATAGAGCTACCGTCCCCCGCTCTTGCTAGACTAATTGTTGCTAATGGCCTCGTCACGATATTTCATCAATGCAAGTTTTAGGACAATTATGCGAGGGTTGACTAGAGGTTCATCAACCACATTATATGAGCCAGGTTGGAGAGCGTCTTGAGAGATACATTCACTGTTGTTCAGTGTTTACCCACACACACAACACGCCCATTTCCTCCCCACCTTCATAATAAACAAAACTGAAAACAAACTTTTTATATGAAAAAATTAGACAATTGGAAAACAGAGTTGATCACAGGAAATGGATTACAGACTTAACTTGAGCACATTGGAACTATATATGTGGGACCAGCGTGAACCCTTAGCCTGAAGCATGACACGAGCCCATATATATATATCCTGAGAGCCTCAGTTTCATTGCTTCTTAATAACACATTCTGATAGCTGGGGGAGAGGGTGGATGGGGGAGAAGATGGGGGGAGGACACATGGAGCGGACGAGGGGGGAGAGGGGGGACATGGTGTGGGGAAGAGGAGGAAAGGGCGGAAACAGAAGAGACCCGGGTGCAGCCGGGTAGTCCTTCTATATATAACATTGGAAATGTCTGTTCGATGTTGCGAGAGAGAAGAGGATGGTAGGGACATGGGGAGAGGAGGGGGGGGGGGGAAGGGGAGATGGGGGGGGGGGCTTGAGAGAGAAGAGCGAGAGAGGAGAGGGGGCAGCAAAGTGGGGAACATGAGGTGGGGGGGGATGTGGGTAGAACGGGAAAGAGAGGGGTGGAATGGGGGGGTTGTGGGGCGAGAGAGACTACCCCGGGCACCGTTGGGTGTCCTCCGAGTAATCTGTAAGACAGAATATCTGTCAGAGGTTGGAGGCCAGATGCTTACTGCTAGTCTCGGTAAACTTTCCAGGATTAAATGTGATTGTATTGGGAGTGTCAGGGGGAGGGTCGGTCCAGACCGGGGGGGGGTGGGGACCTGGTCCTAAAGCCCGTCCTTCACGAAGTCTGTGGATATGAAATATTCAGCCTCGAGTCCATAGACTTTAACCATACTAGAGAGAATAATGCAAGTTAACACTACCTTTTGCCTTAGTCATGAGAAATCCTAAATCTCCTGCATTGCTCAGAGACAAATTATTTAGTGCTGTTAACACCCTTTTGACTGGTGCCGACATACCAACTCGCTCCTTTTATGATAATTGGCTGAGAAACAATGCTTACAATCTCATTAAACTTAACATTCCTTTTAAGTGCAATCTACCTGTCTCTGATATTCCTCTTTATCTGTACCCCACCATTCAAGTATCATACACACCTGTCACCAAGAAAGATAATGAGAATCTTGCTCTACTCAAAGCTGTCACTCTTGAAACAATTGCCACCTCCATCGAGAGTCTAAGATCTCACGAGCACTAAGGCTACACCGACGGCTCAGTCCAGTCTTCTACTGGACGGACTGCAGCGGCATGTAGGTTTTATAGAAATAATATTTGCACAAAGACTGTCAGTGTCAGGTTAAACAACTGGCTGACCTCCACACAAGCAGAACTAGCAGCATTACATTTAGCAACCAGCACATTAAAAAACATTGGAGGAGGAATAATATTCTGCGATTCAAAGTCTGCTCTTCAAGCAATCGACAAACTTCGTGCGCAGGAACTGTGGCACGATCTCCCACACTACATCACCGAATGCCCAGTTATTAGACCTTTCAGACCAGTTGGCATGAGTTACCTGGAGCTCTGTAATTACTTTATTCACTCTCGTATTCTTGAAGATATCCTCACAGTGTACCCAAAATTTGCCAGTGCAGGCTACTAAACACATGGCCCTGTATGACTAACCATCCTGCGAAATGGGAACTTGTATTACCACTGCTACCTTATTCACTCTTGTGTTGATGATATCCTCAAAATGCATCCGGAGTCTGCCAGTGCAGACCGCTTATCACATGCCTCTGTATGACTAACCATCCTGTGTGATGGGGATTTTTTAGCATCACCTAGTTACCTTTTTTGACACACTGTACTCCACTTCATATAGTCTAGGGTAGCTACACTAATGCAGATGTACCTCATGTATATGGGCTGGGTGTGGAGAGGGAGGAGGTGGAGAGGGAGGGGGGGGGGGTGTGGAGAGGGGAGGGAGATTTGGGTAATTAGATTGAAGGTCTGTCTAATTACCCAAAGCTAGCAAAATCTACCCAAAGTTACCCAAATCTACCCAAAGTTACCCAAATCTACTCAAATCTACCCAAAGCCTCCTAGCATTACGTAAATAATGAAAACTATGATATATTTACTCCCTATAATGTTGGTGCTGAATGTTGAACATGAAAAAAATTATTTTTACTCCGAAATATCATTTTTATAACAAAATTAGAGGGAACTAATTGGGAGGAGGCGCCACAGGAAGTCGACGCTCCGAGCGACAGTGTTGTGGCTGCGGGTAATTAGATGGATCCAATTTCGTTATAATATTGTTTCAGAGTAAAGATATGTTTTTTCATGTTGTACATTCAGTACCAACATTATATGAGCAAATACATCACAGTTGTTTATTACTTACGTAATGCAAGGAGGCTTTGGGTAGATTTTGGTAATTAGAGCCTTATCAACCTGCGTGAAAGAAGAGGGTTTGCCGCAGCAGCAACAGCCTGTTGGACCATGCTTGGGGAGAAGAAGAATGCCCAGAACCCCCATTCAGGTACAGTCCAGGTAAAGACATATATAAGATGAGAGCACGTAGGCTCTAGGGAGCCGGTCGGCCGAGCGGACAGCACGCTGGGCTTGTGATCCTGTGGTCCTGGGTTCGATCCCAGGCTCCGGCGAGAAACAATGGGCAGAGTTTCTTTCACCCTATGCCCCTGTTACCTAGCAGTATAATAGGTACCTGGGAGTTACTCAGCTGTCACGGGCTGCTTCCTGGGGGTGGAAGCCTAGTCGAGGACCGGGCCGCGGGGACACTAAAAGCCCCGAAATCATGTCAAGATAACCTCAAGATAGGCTGTAGGCTATTCTTACCACCACCACAAGGTGAGGAGCAGGTAAGAACAACAAAAGATGTAAGAAAGGTTGGCCATAACGGTATGCGTGCTAGTCTGTACAAGAATATAAGAACGCTTGTGTATAAAATAATAAAAAAAGGAATAAGAGGAAGATAAGAATAAGAGGGAAGATAAGAATAAGAAAAGGGGTAGGAATAAGCAAGAAGCTCAAAGCTCAAGTCGGGTCACGTTTGTTAAGAAGGTTGGAGCATGTGAGTATGTACTGTGAAAGGCAAGAGTCTACAGAAACAAAGCCTGGACTCAAGTTCATGTTGGGTATCAGAGCAGAGTCAACAAGACGGCGTCTGTGTAGAGTAGAGGCAGGAAAGATTATTTTAGAGGAAGACCAATCAATAGGGTGATTAAGAGTCCCTAACATGACAGAAGAGAACATTGTTTGTATCTGCACACTTGCAGACTCCTGAAACCTTTTTAGTTTCTCACACACCTCCTTGTCGTTTTCTGTAAGACTTCCCCTTGCCTCTTTAGCCTTATCACGTGGTCTCTAGCTGTTGTTTTTCTCCTTATATGGCTAAAAGATCTTTGGATCAAAAGATCTAAAGCTAAAAGATCCTTAGCTTTTGCTGCTTTGTCATTTTCAAACTGTCCCTCGGCTTCCTTCCTGACTCCGGTGTTATCATTTCTGACTCTCTTCAGTGCATCTCTGTTTTCCTCTGATCCTCGCTCTCTATTTTGTCCTTGCTTTCTTGTTCTTGTCTTTTGCTTCTCTGCGCTGACTCTTACACCAAGGGTTAACTTTGCCTTCTCCTCCACCTCCTCCTTGAGTGGGATGTACAGGCTCCGTTGCATCTGTACATTTCTGAGCAATAACTTCCACCATTTCATTTGTCGTCTTCCTTTGCAGTTCCCTCTCCCACTGGACTTGACTCAGAAAATCCTTCACCTTACTGTAGTCTCCGTCTGTAGTCTCTTGTATTCCTGAGTGTGTTTCTTGGTCTATCCAGTTCCTTTAGCTGCATTATGTACTGCAGCACGATAATGCAGTGATGCCTTGTTCCTCGGGACCGCTCATACTCTATCTTCACCACATCTGACTCATGTTGGGTGAACACCAAATGTATAGTGTTGATGGTGGATCATCTCCCCTTACTCTTGCTGGCTCTGTAATATGTGGTTTCAAGAAATGCTTATCTGCTGTATCTATCAATTTTGTTCTCCATGTCTCATCATCTCTGTGAGGGTCCTTACTTATCCAGTCTGTTTCTCTGTGATTAAAATCCCCAAGTATTAGCATTGTTGCTCTCGCTACCCTTGACACTGTGGCTGCTTTTTATATTACCTTTAGGCAAGTCTCAGTGAGTTTGTCATATTCTTCCCTAGGCTTTCTGTTGTTTAGTGGGGGATTGTATCACCGCTACCACCTTCATGTCCCCCAAACCTTGCTATTCCTAGTGTGTACTCTTGCTGATCAGGTTCCTCCAACACCTTCACTTGTACCAGATGGTAGCCTAGCTGGTACATATAGCAGATTAGCTGGTACATATAGCAGCCTGGTAGCCTAGCTCGTACATATAGCAGCCTAGCTGGTACATATAGCAGCCTAGCTGGTACATATAGCAGATTAGCTGGTACATATAGCAGCCTGGTAGCCTAGCTGGTACATATAGCAGCCTAGCTGGTACATATAGCAGCCTAGCTGGTACATATAGCAGCCTAGCTGGTACATATAGCAGCCTAGCTGGTACATATAGCAGCCTAGCTGGTACATATAGCAGCCTAGCTGGTACATATAGCAGCCTAGCTGGTACATATAGCAGCCTAGCTGGTACATATAGCAGCCTAGCTGGTACATATAGCAGCCTAGCTGGTACATATAGCAGCCTAGCTGGTACATATAGCAGCCTAGCTGGTACATATAGCAGCCTAGCTGGTACATATAGCAGCCTAGCTGGTACATATAGCAGCCTAGCTGGTACATATAGCAGCCTAGCTGGTACATATAGCAGCCTAGCTGGTACATATAGCAGCCTAGCTGGTACATATAGCAGCCTAGCTGGTACATATAGCAGCCTAGCTGGTACATATAGCAGCCTAGCTGGTACATATAGCAGCCTAGCTGGTACATATAGCAGCCTAGCTGGTACATATAGCAGCCTAGCTGGTACATATAGCAGCCTAGCTGGTACATATAGCAGCCTAGCTGGTACATATAGCAGCCTAGCTGGTACATATAGCAGCCTAGCTGGTACATATAGCAGCCTAGCTGGTACATTTAGCAGCCTAGCTGGTACATATAGCAGCCTAGCTGGTACATTTAGCAGCCTAGCTGGTACATATAGCAGCCTAGCTGGTACATATAGCAGCCTAGCTGGTACATATAGCAGCCTAGCTGGTACATATAGCAGCCTAGCTGGTACATATAGCAGCCTAGCTGGTACATATAGCAGCCTAGCTGGTACATATAGCAGCCTAGCTGGTACATATAGCAGCCTAGCTGGTACATATAGCAGCCTAGCTGGTACATATAGCAGCCTAGCTGGTACATTTAGCAGCCTAGCTGGTACATATAGCAGCCTAGCTGGTACATATAGCAGCCTAGCTGGTACATATAGCAGCCTAGCTGGTACATTTAGCAGCCTAGCTGGTACATATAGCAGCCTAGCTGGTACATTTAGCAGCCTAGCTGGTACATATAGCAGCCTAGCTGGTACATATAGCAGCCTGGTAGCCTAGCTGGTACATATAGCAGCCTGGTAGCCTAGCTGGTACATATAGCAGCCTGGTAGCCTAGCTGGTACATATAACAGCCTAGCTGGTACATATAGCAGCCTAGCTAGGCTGCTATATGTACCACCTAGGCTGCCATTTGTACCAGCTAGGTTACCAGGCTGCTATATGTAACATTTGGTTGTCATCATGTATCAGTTGGCTGCTATATTGCCAACCTGTCCTCTTAAATAACGTCGCTTTTGGCCGTTTGCCCGTATGGCCGAAAGTGGACGTAATTTGAAAATGAAAATAAATTTAGGATTTTTTTTTTTTAACAATAAGTTAATGGTCCTCTGATAGGTTAGGTGGGCAGGAAATTCTCATAAAGTTTCATAACGTTATGAAAAACGTTAATTGAAAGTTTCCTCTTCTAACCTTACGGAGTAAGCCGGACGACTCAAACAGAAAACGGGACAGTACGTCACTTTTGTGAGTCAATTTCATTTCAACTTGCGTCCAAATTTGGCCATAGTGAACATACGAGCCAAAAGTGACGTTATTTTTAAGAGGACGGGTTGAGCTGGTACATATAGCAGACATGAACTAGGTATTGAACGTCTGGTATTGATCAGGACGGGTGAACATATTCGCTGCTGTCATAATGTGTTCCCGACTCGGATAGACATTTACAACTGTCAGAAGATTGCCTGACGTAGTGTAATGCTGAAACATGTATGGTTCTAACCCTGGGAGGTTATATCAGTAGCCTCGTATCAACTGGACAATTCTGAATTAGTGATTCTAGATGCGGGAGATCTGAGTCGTCGTTAGTTGGAATTTTGAGGCAAATGGGTTTTGTTATTTAAAATAGGGTCCTTGGATTCATATCTATAAGCCTTATGTAAAATACAAGTACAGTATATATTTATTCATATTTATCTTGTTAGTTTCGGTCACCAAGTGTATAGTTATAATCATACCGAAGAATGATTATAACTTGATGAGTGTGGATGGGTGGGTGGGGGAGACGGCCCCAACACGGGCCAGGCGGCCAGGCACACCAGGGGACTCGCTCACCTACAAACTGTAGGGGAGGTCACCTTTAACACCCCCCTCCCCCCCCACCCCCACCTCCGTGACGCGGGGGGGAGGGCCCATGACCCTCCCCCCCCCCCTGCCAGCCTGGCGCACTCTGGCAATGATGAGGCTCACAAGTGAATGGCTGTATGTACTCGCCTAGTTGTGCTTGCGGGGGGTTAAGCTCTGGCTCTTTGGTCCCGCCTCTCAACTGTCAATCAACTGGTGTACAGGTTCCTGAGCCTGCTGGGCTCTATCATATCTACATTTGGAACTGTGTATGGGGTCAACCTCCACCACATCACTGCCTAATGCATTCCATCTGTTAACTACTCTGGTACTGAAAAAATTCTTTCTAATGTCCCTGTGGCTCATGTGGGTACTCAGGGGACCTGTGTCCCCTTGTTCACCTACCACCAGTGTTAAACAGTTTATCCTTATCTACCTTGTCAATTCCTCTGAGAATTTTGTAGGTCGTGACCATGTCACCTCTTACTCTTCTGTCTTCCAGGGTCGTGAGGCGCATCTCACGCAGCCTGTCCTCGTAACTCATGCCTCTTAGTTCTGGGACCAGTCTAGTGGCATACCTCTGAACTTTTTCCAGCTTCGTCTTGTGCTTGACAAGGTACGGGCTCCATGCTGGGGCCGCATACTACAGGAATGGTCTTAAAAGATTCTGTGGTATACAAGATTCTGAATGCTTCCTTACACAGGTTCCTGAAGGCAGTTCTGATGTTAGCCAGCTTCGCATACGCCGCAGTTGTCATTCTTTTGATGTTGGCTTCAGGAGACAGGTTTGGTGTGATATCAACTCCTAGATCTCTCTGTCCGTTTCATCAAGTACTTCATCTCCTATTCTGTATCCTGTGTCTGGCCTGTTGTCTCCGCCGCCTTGTTTCATTACCTTACATTTACTCTGGGTTGAACTTTAGTAGCAATTTGGTGGACCATTCATTCATGTAACAAATACATGTCCTTACCTTGTGTTACTGCCACACCTCAGCTGATGGTCACCCCTTCCTCCCACGCCCTCCCCCTTCCTTCCACGCCCTCCCCCCTTCCTTCCACGCCCTCCCCCTTCCTTCCACGCCCTCCCCCCCTTCCTCCCACGCCCTCCCCCCTTCCTCCCACGCCCTCCCCCTTCCTCCCACGCCTCCCCCTTCCTTCCACGCCCTCCCCCCTTCCTTCCACGCCCTCCCCCTTCCTTCCACGCCCTCCCCCCCTTCCTCCCACGCCCTCCCCCTTCCTTCCACGCCCTCCCCCCCTTCCTTCCACGCCCTCCCCCCCTTCCTCCCACGCCCTCCCCCTTCCTTCCACGCCCTCCCCCCTTCCTTCCGCGCCCTCCCCCCCTTCCTCCTACGCCCTTCCCCTTCCTTCCACGCCCTCCCCCCTTCCTTCCACGCCCTCCCCCCTTCCTTCCACGCCCCTCCCCCCTTCCTTCCGCGCCCTCCCCCCTTCCTCCCACGCCCTTCCCCTTCCTCCCACGCCCTCCCACGCCCTCCCACGCCCTCCCCCCCTTCCTCCCACGCTCTCCCCCTTCCTTCCACGCCCTACCCCCTTCCTTCCGCGCCCTCCCCCCCTTCCTCCCACGCCCTTCCCCTTCCTCCCACGCCCGCCCCCCTTCCTCCCACGCCCTCCCACGACCTCCCCCCTTCCTCCCACGCCCTCCCCCTTCCTT